CTTTGCAATGATACGACTAAAATTGATAGGTACCAGGAAGCCTAATAGACCTAAGAATAGGAACGAAACGGGCTGAAGTTGTGTAAAAGGTTAGAAAACGAGATTGATTTTAAGTGGGATCTTAGAATAAAAGGCTTATTTGTAACTTAAGGAATGCTTAGAAGTTAAGTTTGCAGGTGAAAATGCCATACTTGGCCCTAGAAGAACAGCGATTTTTACACTCCTTCCTCATGGACGTCGCTGAAATCAGGGCCCGCCTGACTGCCGACAGCTGCCGTAGATTGGCTCTCTTCCAAGTAGAGATCGGATCAAGAACATCACACAACTCCTGACACTGAGTGCGCAGGTGGCTAATACAGGTCAGACAGTCTGCCTGACTGCCGGCTTCGGCAGCTGTTTGCTCCCAGCAATACAGCATTTGATCCTGTTTCGCTTCCATTATTTGATGCACCTTGACGTCTAAACGAGCCAAGGCGTCTGCACTTTGAGACATGACTTTTCCTCTACTGATGCCGCTAAATGTTCTGTCAGAAGCATCCATGGTGTCTGCTCCAGGAAAAGCCGACGTAGCCATCAGGAGAGCCAGAAAGCTGAATGCCAGCAGAATAGACAGATGGCACCGAGGCCTTGATAAGAAGCCCGAAGAATCGAAGAGGCCCGGCCGCCGTAGATTTTGATGGCACATGGCCTGAGATGACTGCTTTTGGTAAATGACAGGAACCTATTGATGTAGTGTTGATATGTCCAATTTTATATTAGCACTTGTACACATATTCATGCAAAAAAATGCTCCTAGTGAAATAAGGGTAAAAATCATTGTTAAATAGCTTTTATTGTTCTAAAAGTGCAATATATAAAAAATTGTTAATAGTTATAGGTTTCACATCTTATGCACGATTTTATCCATAACTGTGAAAAAATGATGCATTGTCAGAGCTTTTAAGATAGGTTCCGGATTCCTATTAGACATCTTCTTCGAAAGAGACAAATAGCATTTACTTTTGCGTGTAAGGCAAGTAAATTGAAACCAATGCGCAGGCTAGTCTACATTTATATGCTAGGGGAAAAGTTATAGAATATAATTACTATACCCGACTTTATTTTATGAAATAGGATACCAACTGTTGCGTTTAACTCTAAATTTTCTGATAATAGGTACTTTTTGAATGAATAATCGAAGTTATACGAAAGGATATTCGTGCAAAATCAAAACAAAAGCAGC